TCACGAGTACTTCCACACCATGAAGCGGAAGCACGACGAGTGGATCTCCGCGAAGAAGGTAGCGGTAATACGTCACTACCACTGGGAGAAAGTAGTTTAGAATTTCTATGACTTAAGGGTAATCCATTGCATTGAACCTTAAGTAATTAATGTAAACATTTAAATTAAGTTTTTTTCTTTTTTTTTTTTTTGTAAAATAAAACTCGTACAATTAATTTTACCTTAAGTAATTCTTGCGAAGATTGTCTTGATATATTACGGTTACTGAGTCCATTTTGAAGTGATGAAAGATCTTGCTTTGAATTCGTAAATTTGCATGCTTCATCATAATGATTGAAAAAATTACTCTTGATAGGCCGCCGAGTCATTTTTCTAAAAAAAAAAGTAAGTTCACGTCCTAATATATAAATAAATTCATAAAAAATGTATTTTTGTAACACATGTTTTTCCCCAAAAAAAATTCAGGTTATTTTTTTGCCATTAATAAATAGAGATTTCTGAAAGCTTTGTTCAATTAAAGCTACATACAAAAGCTTAAAAAAACTATTTCCCATCGATTACATAAAATAAAATATAGATGAGAGTCTTATCAAACAAATTGAAATTAAAAAAATATTAATCAACTCACGCATAAATTTTTAGAGACTTTTGTAGATACACTTTCTTTTTCTTTGCATTTCTCAAATTCTGTATTGTTTTGGAAAATAAAATCAGTTTTGTACTGTATTACTTCCACCGCCACGTTTTTTTTTATTTCTAATAAATTTCCCAACTCTTGAGGCCGACCGTTTGAAACAGTGAAGCTATGAGAACTGAGAAGTTGAAATGGACATTGCCCTAAACGACCATCCAGATTTAGATTTGGCCAAACTTCCAATTCAGAAAATTCAGGCTTATTTTCACTTTAAAGTAAAAAAAAAAAAAAAAGAAAGATTAATAATAATATTTGTAAATAACGAAATGAAACATATTTTATATAATAAATATTTACCAGGTTACTGATTCTATTTTTATAAATGGTGTTTTGTTTCTAGCACATATAATTATTTTACTTTCAGAGACTTGCTTTTTTTTCTCGTTTAATTTAGATAAAAACGATTTCTCAGCTTTTGCAATCCAATGCCACAAATTTCGCAAAGGCAATACAGGAATCCTCCATTTCTGAGCTAATTCCAAAAGACTGACACAAGAAGACGATGGTTGTTGAGAAATCTTTTCTAGCATAGCAGATGCTCTACTCTTCTAAAATTAAATTTAAAATAAATATGTATTTTAAAAAATTTAATATCTTTTTAAGAAGACATGCAATGTAAATAAATATTCAATGAAATTGAAAGTATGTTAAAAAACAAAAAACTACAAATGAAAAAATTGGATAACTAATAAAAATAATTAAATTTTCAAATGTCAAAAAGCAATTTTTCTTATAGCGAAAGCAGAATTTTGATGAGAAATTATTGAAACTTGATTAACTATTACTTAAAATTATGAAATATAATAGTTTCATACAAAAATGCATTTATTAAAATTTAAAATTAATTTAAAAAAACTTACAGGTAAAATTAAGTGTTGATCTTGATTAGTAGATGGAGACGGAGTTGTTATAGGTGAAACAGAAGAAGCAGGACTGTGCACTTTTCCCATCCATTCTGCTTTGTCAGTTATAATAACTTTAATTCCTTTTTTTAAAAATACTTCTATTTTCTAAAAAAAAAAATAAAAAAATACTTAGTTAAATAATGTGATTAAAATTTTAATTTTTTTAAATGAAGTAGCAATAAATTAAAATTTATATTTTAAATTATTACATATTAATGTATAAAAAAATTATTAAATATTCTAATAGTTTAAGTAAGCAATTTGTAGAATATTTTCGAGATCTATTTGATTAGGTAATTAAGTGTGACTTTAATCAAAAAGAAATAAAGTACCGTTAAATTACATTTTGAAATTAAATCTAAAAAAGTATAGAAAAAAACTTACAGCGCCATAAGATTTCAAGATGGTTTCAACTTTGTTTGATTCTTTTCTGCTGTTAATGTCCAAATAAAATCGTGTATTAGATAAAAATTTAGGATGATGATTTTGCGAAGAGGATGAGTAATGCTGTTCAAATCCTGTAAAATAAATTTACCTTATAATTTCAAAAAAAAATAAAATACCAAAAAAAATTTAAAATAAGTTTAAATGCCCACTAGTGCATCGAAACGTAAAAATTAAAAATCAAACTTTTTTTTTTTTTTTTATAAAACTACTTAAATGTTTCAAAAAAAATTGCAATACTTAAGGTAAAAATGCTTGTTATGATTGAAATTCTAAACAAACTTTTAACTAAACAAATATTACCTAATTAAACTTGTTAATTTTTAAAATAATAAAAATATTTTGTTTAACCGTAATAGAAGACAAAATTATAAACTAAGAACTGTAAATTATTTGTTTATTTTAGCAATATTATTAAATTACTTGACAAGCAATAAATGATAAAGACATATGGTAATTTTATTATATTTCAAAAAAAAATAAAAAGAAAAGAAGTTTTAATCGATTTTATAAACTATAAATATATATAATTTAAAAAAATTTTTTAAATTAAACAAACGATATTTTTTAAAACCAATATTTGAAAAAAATTAAGTTGAACCTGGTTTGAAATACACCATAAATTAATGAAATACTCACAAATACTTGTTAGAAGTAAAAATAAAAGCGTGTTATTTTAACTTAACTTGATATATTTTAACTTAATGAAATTTGTTATATATAAACTGCTTTTTTTTGTCAAAAAAAAAATAGTCCAAATACTGTGCTTACAAGCCTTACCTTTCTGCGTTTGCAAAATGTTTTTTTGCGAACTAATTACGGCGATATCAAATTTGTCGAGCGATTTTTTAAAAATCTTTGGAGGTGAGACCATGCCTTTAATTTGTATATTAAATCACAACAGCAATTATTAAGGCAATACACAAATGAAAATTTACCGTAGGAGTGTCCATCATGTCTATGCATTCGTACTCGATTAGATATCAAATATGGCGGAATATGTATTTTAATGTTTAGTTTTACGTAAACACCAATTAAAAAAAAAAATAAATTACGAAAACTAAATGCGGGAGTAAAAATTACAAGTTTTTAGCAAAAAAAATATTAAATAAAATAATATTAACGTAGAATTTTCATTAAAAATTAAATAACGTAATTTACTTTCAACATATAGCGTCTTTCTCAAAAAAAAAATATAACTGTGTGACCTCTATTGGATTTTTAAAGAACTTCTAAACAAAGAAATATTGATTAAGTAAAAATATTTTTTGAACAGTTATAATATTGTAAAACTAAAATTTATTTACTAATAATTGCGAGAATAAATAAAAATAACCGATTGAAATTGTGAAAAAAAATTTGTAAAAATATTATTTTTGAAATAAAATGTTTTACACGTAAAAATGTTTTTTTTTTTTTTTTTAAATCACGTATAAATTTAAAAATGAATTTTAATAACAGAGTAAAAACTATTACTTTTTGGCAACCAAGTATTATTAAATAATTGTTTAAAATGGTTTTAGTATTTAAGACACTAAAATTCAATTTAAAAATTCCCTAAAACTCCACTATTAATTTTATTGCTACAATTCACTTAATATAAAATTAAAAAATGTATATCAGAAAATTACCTGTAATCATATTGAATACAATAGCTTTTTTGCAAATTAATTTTAAAGTATAGAAAATACGCCTCGTTTCTAGCAACAAATAGTGAATTTCATAGAAAAATATTGATAACTCATAAACTTTCAATTGTTTAATATGTCGTAAATTATTTTAAGGTTTTCATGAGTGTTATAAATCTTGATAGTTATTTTAAAAAATGAAAAAAAAAAGTTGTTTATTAGTTTAAGTGATTTAGTCAGTTTAAGTAATATCTACAGATTTTGGAAATTAATTAAGATTTTACTAATAATTTCCAATTTTGGAAGGAAATACTGCAAAGTTTGTAAATATTTAATTAACAAATGAATGAAGGTATTAATAAAATTTTTTTTAGTAAATTGACAAAATTGTTGTTGTTTCAAAACTAATACTTTATATGACAGTATCTTAAAATTCAAAATGGTTGTAAAATGATTAAAAAGTCTAGCTATATATTATCACTTTATTTTAAAATACTCATTAACAGTGATCTATAATTGTACTTAACCCAAAAAGTTTGTTTCTATTTTATGTTAAACATATACGAAATTATCAAAAAATTATTTTTTTAAAGGATTAAAATTTACAGCAAATATTGAAATTTTTTTTTCATTTAAATTAGTTTGTTTAAAGCTGAAATTTTAATGATATTATTCAATTACATTTATTAATGTATTTAATAGAAAAACAATGGCATACCAGTAGTTTCGAGTTATTTTGCTTTTAACGTCTTTAACATACTATACAATATTTTACCAACTTTTTACAATTCCAATAGTAGTTTAATAGTATTCATAATGAAAATAAAAGTAATTCAAAAATTATTATAAAAATCATTTATTATGTACAAAATTTATTTTACAATAAGACTAAAAAAAATTTTCATGCAATATTTATTTATAAAATTAAATAAATAAAATTATAAATTTTATTGAAAATTTATTAGAACTTCATACTGAGAACTTCTTTTAAAAGAAACATGAGGGAAAAGATGTTTCCAGTCAGAAATATTTGCATAAGATATTAAATTGCAAAAACTGAGATCCAAAAGCTTTAATTTCGGTAATCCTATTAATAATCTAAAAAAAAAAATTCAGTAATTGTTATGAAACAACATTTAAATTTTGAAAAACCTTAAAAAAACAATATTTTTACCCAATAATGTGTATTAAATAAATCAATGTTTTTTTATAATTATGTTATTCAAAAATTAATAATATATCAAAAATTTTACCAAAACAATCAGAATAAAGTACCAAAAAAAGAGAGTGTGATCCAACTTATACTGTAGATAAATTAGAAAAGTATATCTAAATATGTATCTTACTCAAGGCAAATTTCTGATGTGATCCCTCGAGCTCCTAATAAATCTATTTGTTCCAAATCAGGACAAAATTTAATAAAAGGCTCTAAATCATTATCACAAATCCCTCGAACAGCTGTTAGAAACAGCTTTTTTAGTTTACTGCATCCTTCTGCTAGATTACACAAACTATCAAAAGGTGAAGTAAATCCCAAGCTGTAAAAACAAAATTTCTATTAATATAAAAAATTAAATTTTTTTTCAATCTAAAAATAAAACTAAAATACTAACCACCACCCTAAATCCACTTCTTCAAGTAAGCTACATTGACTTAATGCTGAAACTCCAACTTGAGTTAAATTTGAAGTTTTCCAGAGATCGAGTGAAATAAGTTTTTTATTATTTTCAGATATAGCTAACACAACTTCATCCATATTGTTTATTTTGGTGCAAGATCCTATTTTTATATTTAAAATTGATAAATAAAAAGAATAAGCATACAAGTAATAATTTTATTATTGCATTAAAATACTACCCAAATTCAAATGCAATAAATTTTTGTTGTTCTTTAGGATTTCAATCAGAGGTTGACAAGTAATATTTGTCCTGTATAAATCGAGGTATTCCAATTGAGAAAGTTTTTCTAAACAGTAAAATCCTTTGCTGCTTACAGTAGTACAATTTCTTAAACCAAGTTCTTTTAATTGTTTACACTGAGCTAAAACTTCAATTGTTTCATTTGTTACAAATTTACAGCTATTCAAACGAATATGAGTTAGAGTACCATAACTAGGGATTAAAAATCTGAAATAAATTAGCGTACTAAAATAGTCTGTAGCATAATAAAATTTTATCAAAATAAAAAAAAAAGAAAGTAAAAATTACTCTTGAAAAACGGAAGGAGTAATAGCATTGTAACTTCCACACCAACTTAAATCAAGCTTTTGTAAATGTTGACATTGTTTACTCAAACTAAGTAGAGCTCCATTATTTATAATGTTCCAATAAGGTTGTAGAGATAAACTGTTATACAAAAAACTATCGTAACAAAGCAAGTTGAAATGTCGATTTAAACGAGCGCATCTACGTAATGATATTAAATCAAGATATCCCAAAATTTTCAATATTGCTTCATCCTTGATTTGTAAAAATTAATCAGACAAAAAGTTAGAATAGCAGAATAATAGTCAATAATTTGTTTAAAGTAATGCAAAAAGATTAGTTTTGCACGCATATTTCAAGTTACGATATGTTTTTAGTCTAAGAAACTTAAACTCATTATACATGTAAGTTTTACAATTTATTATTAAAGTTTTGTAAAATACTTACTGGCAAACATTGAAACCTTCCACTATTATTACAATAATCTCTTGTTGACTGTGTAGCATTTACGGCATCAGTTTTATTTTGAAAATTTCTTTTAACTTTGTGTATGTCTGTACCCTAAACAAGTATTTTTAATAAGAAAATAAAAATCTGTGACATTACTGATTTTAATTATAATATACTAACAAAATTACCTTATTGGGAATATAATGTAAATTAAGTTCATATATTTGCTGAGTTAGTTTTCCAAACACTTCTGCACTTAGATCTATATTTCCTTCATCATTTTCTAGGTCAAATATTTTGTTTGAAGATAAAAAATTACTTTTTATAGGTTGTTTTGTTCCCACCAAGAGCACAGCATCTATCCCAGTATAATATTCCAATTGAGAATGATTAAATTCTATTCTAAGAACACTAAAAATTATTAAAGATTAAAAATCATTTAGTAAAAGTAAGTTTTCAATTACATTTTATAAAAATTTGAAATGTTTTTAAAAATAATTTTTAAAAAATTTCTGGAGTTAAAGAATATATGTGGTAGCTACATTTAAATATAAAAATTTTTAGTTTTATTACCATGTAGTGAAATTAACTATTTTGATGAAAGGTGTAAATACTCTTGGAATGTGTTTTTGCTTAGAGGGTTCACCTTCCCACAATAATTCCCACATATTTTTTGAGTTGGCATGATTTTTTGCCCAAATACGAACAACTGCTCCAGGATTATAAGTTTCATAAATACTAATTCTAAAAGGATATACACATTCCTCAAAAGAAACATCTATAATAAAAATTAATTATTTATTTAAAATTACATTTTAAAAGAAATGTAACTACACGTTAATTTTATTTTAAGGTTTTTAAGAGAATGCAATAAAAAGTCAAGAAAAAATCTAACCTAAAGATTTATAAATTCAATTAAGTTAAAAAAATTTTGAAATTTTCAGATAATTTAATGTTAAAATAATTACCCACAAAATCAACACTGGGTATTTTAGATGTGTTTTGTGGCATATAATCTACTGTGCTAGAAGGTGCTTCTTTCCACCAGTTGCCATAAGTTTTCTAAAACATAATTATGTATGGTAGAAAAATTGATAGACTACATTTCGATTACTTTTAAATTTTAAATTAATAAGAGGAAACTGAAATAAAATAATATAGTATATTATTTTATGGTATTTAAAATACCATGACAAAGGCTTGTGGAAAATCTCCGTAGTCAGGAAACTTGGACGGTTTTCCTGTCAAGTTATAGGCGGTGTATGAAATGCTAGTATCACTGCCGTATTGAGAACTAAAATCCAATACTTCATGCACATATTGTTCAACAAAGTTAATGTCTTCCTTAAACTCTTGTAGTACAAATTTTTGAATTTTTTTTAGAGGTAAACTACAAATTTTTTGAGAGTAAAAATGTTTTTCCATTTCGTTAAATTATTTACCTCAACACTGTTTGTGTCATTTGTGCGACAGTTTTAATTCCACGACAATTTAGTTTCTGTATTTTTTGTAATTTTCGGTGAATTTTTTAATTTTTATTTTTGTTGAATTAATAATGTATTAAATTATTAAACTTTTTTTAACAATATGAACTCTAGTTTTTTCTTTTTAAACTTAGTTGTTGACAAATGTATTAATTATTTTTTTTATTTGTCTTATACATTAAGAATTTTATTTTTGTCATTATCATTGGTTTCAACATTTTATGCGTGGAAATTTTTTTATCCAAAATTAAGGTAAAGTTAAAAATTACCTTATTAATAATTAAATATTTTAAATTCTCAATTCTAAATATTTGAATAATATATTGATTGATTCATAAAATTTTTTTTTTATAATAGTTTTTTAATTAAATGCCGGCGTCTGAGTCGTCTTTTAACGTGTTGATTCGGGTAGTCTTTGTATTAACATACATTTAGTAATATATAATATTTTAAAATTCAAATGAAATACATATACTTAAAAATTGTATTAATTAATGTTATATTTTATAACGCTATTTATCTTTTAAATATATATTATCATTTGTAAAATATGCCAAAGGCTAAAAATTTTTAAGGTTAATTTTGACCATAACTATTTGAAGGATATTATTGAAATTTATTAAAAAAGTTTTTATAGTTTTTTATAAGCACCAAATGTGCAAAATTATTAAACTATGAAAAATTTTAATAAGGATCAAATAAATATTCAATGTAGCTTATTTGTTTAGATTAAGTTTTATGATTAAACATTACAAAAAATAATTTTTTACACTTTTTAAATAAAGAATTAATTTTTTGTCTTAAATGTTTGAGAGATTCTTTAATTTTATTTTTTCACAACAGAT